CCGCCATGCAAATTTCTTTGTGATAAGCTTTACTAATTTATTATGTTCCTTCAAAGAAAAAATAATTAACTAACCAGAACAAATTAACTAACCAAGACCAGTTAACTTACCGGACCAGTGTTATGCAGAGAAATACCTCCCCCCTTGCACACCAAAGAGAAAACAGATTGAAATATGAACAAAAAGGGAACTTTTAAACATATTGTTAATGTTTTCATATTGCGCATTGCATGCATGGATGCCCTACAATTGAGAGTTTTGGTGGACGGATAAATGCAGAGAATTACCTCCCCTGTCGCTGGAGCATGCATCACCCTACATTCTCGCACATTGATGAGATAACAGATTGAAGTGAGTGAAAAAGGGAATAGAAGCAATAAGCTGACCAGGAATAGTTAGGTAACCACAGGACATTTTAACAGACCAGGACCAATTAACTGTTCAAGAACAGTATAATAACCAGGAATAGTTAACTGACCTGAACCAGTTAACTATTCAGGGCCAGTAAACTAACCAGGACTACTAAACTGACCAGAATACGATTTACTATTCAGGACCAATTAGCTGACCATGACCAGTTTACTAACCAGGACCACTTAACTATCCAGGACCAGTTTACTGACCAGGACCACTAAACTATGCAGGACCCCTAAACCGACCAGAACCAGTTTACTATTCAGGACTAATAAACTAATAAGGAAAAGTTAACTGACCTGGACTTGTTAAGTAACCAGGACTATTTAACAGATAAGGACCACTTAACTATTCAGGACCAGTACACCAACCAGGACCACTTAACTGTTCAGGACCAGTAAACTAACCAGGAATAGTTAACTGGCCCTGAATAGTTAAGTGACCAGGACCGCTTAACAGTTCAGGGTCAGTTAACTGTTCAAGATCAGTTAACTATCCAGGACCAGTTAACTATTCAGGACCAGTAAACTAACCAGGACCAGTTAATTGGCATGGACTAATTAAGTAACAAGGACCAGTTAACTATTCAAGATCAGTTAACTGACCAGGAACAGTTAGGTATTCAGGATCAGAAAACTCACCAAGACTAGTTAACTGACCATAATCAGTTAACTGTTCAGGACCAGTAAACTGACCTGGACTATTTAGGTAAACAGGACCAGTTAACTAACCAGGACTAGTTAACTGAGCAGAACCCCTTTAACTGACCTAACTAAATAAGTAAGAAGGACTGGTTAACTAACCAAGACCAGTTAATTGACATGGAATGGTTAAGTAACCAGGACCAGTTAATTGACCATGGCCATTTTAATAATTAAGGACCAGTTAACTAACCAGGACTAGTTAACTGAGCAGAACCCTTTTAACTGACCTAACTAGATAAGTAAGAAGGATTGGTTAACTAACCAAGACCAGTCAATTGACATTGAATGGTTAAGTAACCAGGACCAGTTAATTGACATGGAATGGTTAAGTAACCAGGACCAGTTAATTGACATGGAATGGTTAAGTAACCAGGACCAGTTAATTGACCATGGCCATTTTAATAATTAAGGACCAGTTAACTAACCAGGACTAGTTAACTGAGCAGAACCCTTTTAACTGACCTAACTAGATAAGTAAGAAGGACTGGTTAACTAACCAAGACCAGTCAATTGACATGGAATGGTTAAGTAACCAGGACCAGTTAATTGACCGTGGCCATTTTAATAATTAAGGATCAGTTCACTAACCAGGACTAGTTTTCTGGTGGAATCCAGAGCCGTTATAATTTTTGCTCGTGTCGGAGGTTAAATCAGAGCCACCTGTCTCTAATCAAGCCGTGGTTTGAACTCAGGTACCGCATGAGGAAGCACAACTGTCCCAACTGCAACTACTCCTGGTGTGAAAACATCAAAGACAACGACATGGAGCTGCGTAAAGTAAGACCAGCAGCGGGATGAAACACTAACTTGTCCGACCTGATGGAGCAGAACTGCTTCTCTCTGTTTCCGCCTCGCAGGTCGACTTCATCTGGATCAACAGAGACCAGCGTTCCTTCGAATGGTTCGTTAGTTTGCTCACCAAACTGGAGATGGACCAGGCTGATGGCGAGCCAGAGGGTGAGAGAAAACAGATGAGTAGCTAAACTGCTGCATGTCTGCAGGACCAGAGAAAGAATAAATCCAGATATTTTCCCATGATTTCAGTCAGACTGAGGGCTGGGATATAGATCTGTTGTAAATGGTTTCTAATGGCAGGTCATTAGGGCTGCTGCTCAGGACAGAAACACACTGAGGCAGTTAGCAGTTAACCCTCACTCACCTAATCAATCCAAACATTTAACTATCAGTCTGTGCTCATTGCTGCAGCCTTAGAGGAGTCACTGGGTTTATTAACACAGCTGCTGTCTTTCAGGGCGCTTCCTGGAGATGCACATGTACATGACATCAGCTCTTGGCAAGAACGACATGAAGGCCATCGGCCTGCAGATGGCGCTCGACCTTCTGGCCAAGAAAGAGGAGAAAGACTCCATCACAGGCCTGAAGACCAGAACTCAGCCAGGCCGACCCGAATGGGGGAAGGTGAGGCCCTTCTTGTATCTAATCCACCAGAACCGATGATGATGATGATGATGATGATGCACTTCTTGAACAATCTGTTAGTTTGAGTTCAAATTATTTATTCTATCAAGAAACAAGAATTAGAGCAGAAGGATCCATAAGGTTTTAGAGACTTCAGAGTGTCAGCCGTCCAGTTTGAGTCGTCATAAAATTTATAATTTTCATAGAGAGGATCTAAAAAACACACATGAACTAGTTCTCTCTGATCTCTCTCATTTTATCCTTAACTAACTTCTAAATACAAATGTAGGCAAGGGAACTTTATTTCTATAGTACAATTCAGTAAAAGGACAATTCAAAGTAATACACATGATTAAACAATAAAATAGAAAACAAAATCAAAGCAGAATCAAAGCAGGTAATGATAAAAACATGATAAAAGCAGGTACTAAAACAAACTAAACAGCTGTAGGTTGTGATAAGCAGATGAGAGTCATCTCCTTTCCTACTTTTAATCAGTTAATGACTGTTCTGATTTTATGTTTTTATTGTCTATTGAAATTTGATTATTGGTCTGTGAACACGCCCATCTGGCTGTTTGTTAGGAACTGAAATGAATTCAATTCAGTTTATTTCTTGAGACCCAATTCAGAACACATGTCATCTCAATGCACTTTACAGGGACAATTCAACCAGATCATTCAGTCAAATTGATTCAAAGTTTTCTATCTAACGAAAGCCGTTTGACTGCATCGACTCATTGACTCCAAGGCAATTCCTCACACTAAGCATGCTTGTAGCGACAGTAGAGAGAAAAAACTTACTTTTAACAGAAAGAAACCTCCAGCAGAAGCAGGCTCAGTGTGAGCGGCCATCTGCTGAGGTCGACTGGGGTTCAAAGAGATGGAAGCAGACATAGAAAAAGAAGGGGGCCCCCTTCCAGGAAACAAACAACCAGGCCTGGGTCCGAGCCAGGTCCCATGTCAGGGGATGAAGAAGAGCACATCTAATTAGTCACAGTCTGAGAAACGGGACAACACTGAAAAAGGTCAAACAGGTCAAGCTCCAACATCTATAAACAAAGGTGTTGATGGCAGCAGCACAGCTGATAGTTCTTTACAGGATGGCGTCACAGCCAAACAGGAACAGACTATATCTATAAAGCCACTATGAGAAAAAGCAGAGAGAGCATAATATTAGAGATTGAATTCTGCAGAATGGGAGAATAGAGATAGAATGATGAAAAAGGGGTCCCTATGTCCTCCAGCAGTCTAAGCCTATAGCAGCAGAACTATAGAGATAACTCTGGATAACCTGAGCCACTCTAACTAGAAGCTTTATCAAAAAGAAAAGTTTTAAGTCTAGCCTTAAAAGTAGACAGCTTTTAGTTAAAATCATGTTTAAACATTTACTCTGCACATATATGGGATAAATTAACAAAAGCTTCCTTTCAAAATATAAGAATGTATTCTAAAAACCTCAAATCCAGGGTAAACATATTTCAGCTAAAAAAATTTTACAAATCAACAGTTTCTCAACTAAAACTGTTTAGTTGATTTGAATGATGGGTGAA